GTAAATTTCTTTCCATTCCTAGATTGTTGTTATTACTTTAAGAATGGTTTTTAAGAGAACATTGCTTCCTAAAATGTGAAAATATGGTATGCAAGTGCTCCCTTTGTTTTAGGCTTCACATTGATTTTAATTTGGGCACTTTATATTTTAGTTTGCACGGTTAATACAAATTAAAATTCTTAAGGAGAATTCACTCCAGCTGCGAGGAATGCTGATTATGCCTAGGAAGTAGATGGTTGCTGAAAAAAACAAATCTTGGCATGGATTTTTTGTTCAGTGATACCTGGTGGGTCACAGGCCACCATCCATGCTGTAGATGACATTTAAATTCTTTGTAATGCTAAAGCATGTGGAAGCATGTGTTAACCAATGTTAAAGCATGTGGAAGGCTCAGAATATCAGGATAGGCATAAGGTATTTAGAAATATAGGTAGCCCTTGACTTATGACCACAACTGAGCCCAAAATTTCTGTTGCTAAGTGAGATAGCTAGTTAAGTGATCGGTGTTTTACAACCTTTCTTGCTACAGTTGTTAAGGGAATCACTGGAGTTGTGAAGTTAGTAATCCCATTGTTAAATGATTCTGGTTTTCCCATTGACTTTGTTTGTCAGAAGGTCGCAAAAAAATACTCACATGCCCCCGGGACACTGCAACCGTCATAAACATGAGCCAGTGGCCAAGCATCTGAATTTTGATCCTATGATCTTGGGGATGCTGCAAAGGTTGTAACTCTCAAAAATGGTCACAAGTCACTTTTTTTCAGTGCTGTTGTAACTTTGAACAGCCACTAAATGAACTGTTGTAAGCTGAGGACTACCTGTATATCATGGAAAAAAAGGTAATGATAAATTAAAACTATATTATTGCCAACAAAACTACATGGATCTAGCTTTCTAAACTCCCGGAAATCAATCTAAACTCAAGAGAGATTGTGAGTGTGGGTGGTTGTTTTTTTGTGTGTGTGTGTGTATGTGTGTGTGCACCCACATGTGCATACATGCCTTCAAGTCAAATTTTGACTCCAGGCAAAGGTCTGAATTAGTCTCTGCAGTTATCTTGGTAAGGTTTTTTTGCATGTGGTTTTTCCAGTGCCCCCTTCCTAGAACTGGCCTTGTGCCTAAGGTAGAACTAGAACTCATTGTCTCCTGGTTTCTACCTTTATACCAGAGGTCCCCAACCTTTTGGGCACCAGGGACCGGTTCTGTGGAGAAAGATTTTTCCACGGACCGGAGGGTGTGTGGTTTGGTGTGCTGCCTGCATCCCACAGATGGGGCTTTGCTTGTTTGTGCAGACCGGTTGCTGGCATGCTCGGGCCCGGTACCGGTCCATGGTCCGGGGCTTGGGGACCCCTGCTTTATACAGTCTCAACTCTTTATTCAGCAAAGGTAAATAAAAACCAGGGACTGAATTTGAGTAAGAATAAAGAAATCTACCTGGAATGATGGCTCCTCCTCTTGACCTACCTTGAATGATGCCAAGCTGAAGGCTGATCACTCCTTACCGATGGTCTCCTCAAACATAGTTCCTGCTCTAGCCCCATACGAAAAGAGCTATCAAACAAAGTTTTTAATTGTTTACCCTCGGCAATGTAATTTATTTCAATAAAATCAATACTGCAGCATTAGAAATGTAACAACAAATGTCTGGGAATCGACCGAACGCACCTTAATGAATTGTTGAGGTCAGAGGGATTATCTATAACTTGTAATCACAATGATCAACAAGGCAGCAATGGATGTGAAATGGAATTAGCAATGGGTTACTCCTAAAGGAAGTGTTATTTGTAAACAGGTTCCAACTCCCAAGACGTAAAAACCCTGGGGAGTACAATGCAAATCAATGTGCAAATATGTGATGAATGCTTATTTGATAAAAAGGCAGTTTGAAGTTTAAGACAGCCTTAAAAATGATTTTGTAGCTATTTATTAAAAGGAGTTATTCATTACGCATCTTAAAAAATACTTTATTTTTCTTTAAGATTTTTTTTTTTTGCAGTTCTTCCTTTTATGGAGTGAGTTTCTGAAATGATCCAAAGGAAGTTAATAATGGAATTTTTAAATGCATCACTTTTCTTATCACAATAGCCCATGAGTACAAAACTGCATTGTTTGTATATTACACCATAAAGATCAATGCACTTAAGTGCATTTTATATGACCATATGCATTGCCTTAACCTGGAAAATCAATTAGATGATATATACAAGGACACTTAGTCATATTTCATCCTTGTGCTTATACCCTAAGCATGTTATGTAGATTTAAATCTCATTGATTGCAAGAGAACAACTACTTAAAAGAACCAAATACAGAAATAGCTTAATAGTGCCTACCTAATAGGTTTGGACTTATAGCACAAACCTATATATGGTTACCTGAATGAAAGCCCTTTGATTTTATGGGATTATTTCTAAATAATAAATGTTCTGCACTATCACTTATGTATTCATAACCTGAGACTTATGTATGAGCATGGAAGAGATATGATGCTGTCAATGAATATATCTCTGAATGTTGACATCTGACTGGCAAATCTTTATTCTGGAATTTGGGAGATGATCCTACTGAGATCAGAGTAGGACATCATCTAAGGTGGGAGGTCTAGGCAGAGGTAGGATAGTTAGTGACTTCCCATAGTTCTTCCCTCTAATTATATTAGGTTTACAAATTGGATACTCCTTTTCCATAAATGTCTTTTGTTCTCATGTGAACTTACCAAGAGGCTCTTATAACACAACTTTATAACCATTTGGGTGGTATGTTTCTTTATCTCTGTCAACTGTCAGCCTGTCAACTGTCAACCGTCTTTGCTTCGAATAGAATAGAATAGAATAGAATAGAATAGAATAGAATAGAATAGAATAGAATAGAATAGAATAGAATAGAGACCTTGGAGGTCTTCTAGTCTAGCCCCCTGCTCAAGCAGGAGAACCTATGCTATTTCAGACAAATGGTTGCCTGGCTACTGGGGGGGTGGGCTCTGGGGTTATGTTCAATTTGTCTTTTTGTGCACATTTGCTTCAGACCTTGCCTGGCTTTTGCTGCAATCAGTTCTTTCCTAGTAAAAATATCTTTTTTTCTGAATCTATGGAGTCAAGAGTTTTCTTTCCTTGAGATTGATCAGAGGCAGTCTGACATTGGTTACCTGGCATGTGCTGAATTAATTTCAGGTTCCTAATACTTTCTAATAACAGACCCATTTTCACATGCTTTTGCTACCAGAAAAAACAAACACCTGTTACTTCTGTCTACAGGAACCACATTTCAGAAGCTCCTTACTATTGTTATCTGAAGAGAAATCGCTCCCTCTTGCACGTGGTTGTTTGTTGTGTGCCTGAAATATAGGAAAAATGGAGTTTATAAAATAAATGAAGCAAGAACATTTCAGCCAAATGGGTTCCTTGGCATCAAAGCAAGCTAGCATCCAGACACTGTCATGTTGTGATGATAACCCTTTACTGATACATTTTATGGTTCACGCTTGCCTAAAATAGCTCAAGAATCAAGTTAGGTTTAATGTAAAATCCATTTAAATCATGGCTGTTGTTTCTTCCCTCTGTTGTGGTTGATGCTGCTTTTTGTGAGTCTGGCAATACTACAGAGCTATTCCAAGACTGGATTCAATTGTGGCTAATGAATCTTGATGCATTAGTGATGGCTCAATGGAAACTTAATTGAACATTTCTGAGTTGAGAGAGAAAGAAGTCTAAATCTCCTGTCAAGTGCAGTTTGTGTGTATATGGATGCATGTGTGCTTTTAAAAGCACCTGATTAAGCATCATGTTTGCAAAAATAGCACTTCTAGTCAGCTAATTCCCTTTAACTTTCTTCATCAGGCTAACAAAAAACAAAAATAAAACAGAAAAAAAAAGAATACTATACTTGCGCTCCTGAACATGACAGCTATATTTAAGTCACAATATTTTCAGTTTTCTAGTAAGGTTTGTGCTGACTTTTGTCTGGTGTCCCGGAAATACCCAGAGTTGCTGTGCAGTGTTAAAAATAAAGTTTCTGTGTCAGCTTTTCATCATTCTTAATTTGACTAAGGTGGGGGGGAGTTAGAGAGGAACATTTCAATTATATTTCCATGGTGGGATGTGTAGAGCCATTCTCTTACCTCACTTATAAAGTGATTGAGAGTGTTGAAAGTGTTCCCCAAACCAGCTGGTACTGCAAAACAGTTTTGTTGTGCATGTTATCCTTAGATTTTGTTAGGATTACTGGGTAGATTGGATAAATTGGATGGATAGATGGATGGATGGATGGATGCTCCAGATTGAACATTTTCTTTTTTAAAATTATTATCATCATCACGACCATCACTATTAGTATCTTTTACAAGGACCAATAACTTTTGTAGTTAGTTGCATTAAACAACAACAACAATTTAAATAATGATCATAATCAACATCATTGCTACAATCCAAAACTTCTCTTCAACACCACTGAACAAATGGTATGTGTGGATTGTGCAAATGCCAGCAGAGGGCTATGTGAATTCATTAAAAATGTAAAAGGGTTAAAAAAAAAATGGCAGCGCATATTGATCAGTAAGAATGGGAAGGAAGGAAAGATTTTCTATCCAAATAAATGATACAATGGTTTCCATTTTGCTTCAAAGATACAAATACTTATTTCCTGAAATACCTGGAAATGAATTGCTTCAACTGGATTGTTAAAACAAAACATACAATCTTAGAATCTACAGATTTGGACAATAAAAAACAACCCAAATCACACATTCCCAATTATTTTACTGTTTTGCTAATTTCAATTATTTCTCTCTGAATTTTTTTTTAGGCATCTTTGAAGATAATAAATTCCAATGGAGGGTGTTTCTACCATCTAAGCAGTCTCTACTTATGCTTATATTGGTCTAAAAACATGACGGAACTGTAAGTAAATCTTCCTTGCCGCATGATGACTCGGATCACTATAATCTGGAAGGAAGCAGAATAATTGTGTCGTCTTCCGTGGCGATTTGCTTAGTGTGTGGAACAATGCCAGAAGGACTAGCAGAAATGCTTATGGATACATGGGCTCCATTAGTAATATTATGGATTACTGCATTTCCATCTATATACATGGCTCCAATGAATCATTCTCAAGTACTACCCAGCAGATCCAGCAGAGGACTAAGTGAACTCAATGAAGAACAAAGAGTGTTGAACCGTTCGAAGAGAGGCTGGGTATGGAATCAAATGTTTGTGTTAGAAGAATTTTCTGGACCTGAACCAATATTAGTTGGACGGGTAAGTCAATATTTTTTTTAATCCTCTAATGAGGCTGATAACACATATTCATTTCTTTGAATTCTTCCGTCAAACCAGCCTCGTAATTCTATGTCCTGTGAATGTTTTGACATGCTACAAGTCAACTAGAAAAGGAACCGACCTCTAATTAGCTTTCTGCCTTTTGAAAGAACTACAAAGAACAAGGCTGCAGTTAGCTCTGATTCTGTAAAAGGATGATTATTGATTTTATGTGATTAGCCTATTACAGTCAAGGAAAATGGTGTGAGTATGTTGGGCTTGGATTTTGTTGATATGGATTGTTTGGCAGACAAGACAGGCAGAACTTTCTTTCAGTCATTGACCAATAAGAGACCACTGAGAGGGTCTACTCAACTTATCTTGGTATTTCTTCACACTTTTGGTTTGCTTTGTGTAATATGTAGTGGAGCATATATACAATTAAACCTTAGTTAGGCCTGGAAGATTAAATGTCTTGCTTCAGGTCACTCTGTGTGTGTGTGTGTCTGTGTGTCTGTGTGTCTGTGTGTCTGTGTGTGTGTGTGTAGGACAAATAACATGATGGATGAAAGCAGGGGTGGTTTTCTCCAGGTTGCATGAACATATTTTCAAGCTGGCTGTATGAATATTTGGAGGGGGCGAGATGCATCTCTTTGATTTAACTTCAAATCTGATAGCGAAGGATCAAATCTCAGTTAAAAAAAAAAAGGTTTGGGACCAAAATCAAGGTAGCCTACTGAAACAAACACAAAAGAGGATTAATTCAAAGGCAGGTTTGATTACCTGCCAGGGTTTGAGCTAAAGATGTGAAGAAGAGGTCAAAGATGAAGAAGCAAAAAGACTGTCAAGGAAAAAAGAAAATGAAGTAAGAGAAACATTTTTTGGTGGGGGGGGAGTCTTAAATAGGGCAACAAAATGTGTCTCTCATCTCCCTCTCTCTCTGTTTGTATCTCTCTTTCTCACACACTCTTTCTTTTCAAGCAAATAAGTATGTTTCAGAGCAACAGCTATTTAATACATGCCTTCTGCCTATAAAATAAAGATATTGTATTTGTGTTAATGGTACCTATTATGTTCCCATGGAATCGGAAGAAGACACCCCCCTCCCCCCAAAAAACAAACCATCCTAATAGAAATTAATACGGGCTAAGCAAAAGACTTCATTTTACTGTCAATCACAATGTGGAATAACTACAAACTGCTTCTATTATCAAGCATACTAGAAATCATAGCATAAATTGCCCAAGCAGCACAAATAGTACGGCAGACTTTCAGCATCTTCATACATCAAACTTCCCTCATCTAAATAGCAGCTCAAACATGCATTGGTTTCCATGGGTTATTTATTTACCGTGTTTAAATAAATACATTTTATTTGCTCTAGCCCCCACCCCTTCAAAAAGACTCTAAGTGGTTTACATTAAATAAGTTTTACCGTTTGATTTTCTAGCGAAATGCAGAATGAGAAAAGTAGAAACAGCCCCTAGAAAGGATGAGATTATCTGAACCACTCATCCCACAGCGTGCTTAATTCTTACTATTTCAACATTATCCTCTTTCTAATTCCGGGTTTCATTCTAACTATTACAGTGTAGCTACAAGGGCAGTCCTGATTAATTGGCAATGTGTTATTGAGTAGGATTGCTTGAGTATCATTATGAAGGAAAAAAATCCAAAAAGGGGATTCTTGGCATTATTCTGCTGTTACCTAAAATAACAATCTGAGTTGCCTATTTATACAGTCCTGGGATTCTGGTGTTAGGTCTAGTTGTGAGGAATGGGACAACTCTCCATGGCCAACTTGCCACAGGACAGCTTGCTGTGACTGACTAGCCATGGCCAACTCATTGCAGCCAACTCACAGGAGAACTCGCTGCAGGACAATTCAACAAAAGTTAAATTAATTCCAATGGAACCATTGTCAATAATAATAAAATAAAGAAAGTCAATCCGGAAATGCAAGAGTTATAATAATTTTGATGGAAACATGGTCACCAGTAGTAAAAGCACCTAAATGTAATGATTAATACAGCACTGAATTCTCCCCAGGTAACTTGTCCTGCAATGAGTTGGCTGTGGCGAATTGTCCTGTGGCAGGTTAGCTGTGTTGAGTTGGCTATGCTGAGTGGGTTGTGGCGAGTCTTCCTAGATCAGCGGTTCTCAACCTATGGGTCGCGACCCCATTTGGGGTCGATCGACCATTTCACGGGGGTCGCCAAGCAAGGCTGTCTGCCATTTTTTTCCCCTTTTTCCGGCGGGTGCCTTACCTCCCTTGGGCTGGGCCAGCTGCTGGTCGGCCTGCTCCGTCTCTGCCGCTTGCCAGCTACGCTTCGGCCGGCGCAGGGGGCGGAACCATGCATGTGCGGCGCTCCCGGGCAGGGAAAGTCCTCGACTTATGACCGGTTGGGTAGTCCTCGACTTACGACTGGTTTAGTCCTCGACTTACGACCGGTTTAGTTCTCGACTTACGACTGGTTTAGTCCTCGACTTACGACCGGTTGGGGGTCGCGGCATTAAAAAGGTTGAGAACCACTGTTCTAGATCCTCTGTCGTGATGCTTAAAGTCACTATCCACAATTTGTAAAGCGCTGTGTACCACAGGAGGTCAGTCCCAAAAAAGTAGAAAAAAATATTGAAGAGGTGAATCTGATGGTGAAGTTCATGGCGATAATTGAAAAACAGGCCTTTTGATGAATATATTCTTTATTTACCTAAGAGCAAGTTTTGAGTATATTGGAAGTTGCTCCTAAATCTTTGCTATTTTGCTGTTTAGATTTAGGACGAAAGTCTAAAAGAAAATCTGAAATTGAATAGGATAAAAGAGTTAAGAATGGAACCTACGAAGTATTCCCAACTGATTTCAGTCATTGGGCAATCAAACAAGGTTCGACCCATGGATTGCTTGCCAGGAAAACTGCAAAGTTTCCAGCCCATCTTTCATCTTTCAATTTTCAGTAATCACAGAGACTGCTTTCCTATTTGCTTAGGTTAATGGTTCACTATTGCCCACACTTCTGTGAAAGAAGTGGTAGGTCTTAGCAGCAATTGACAATAGTGTCTTGTTTAGAATTAAGAACGGGAAATACTTTGTAGAACTATAAAGCACAATGTGATTTTATTAGTTCCCATTTGGAAAAAGTGAAGTTGCTGTCCCAGTAAAGGAGCCTAAAGCAGCTCTTTGATCAGCTATGCCTCTTAACAGTTTCAGTTGAACCTGTAACTGTTGTACATATTTTTGCATCAAGGTGATTTTTTTAACAAATGATGCCCAGATTTTGATGAAACATTAAACAGAAAGGGATGGATGTGAATCTTGAAGCAGTATCTTTATCTGTATATCAATATTGGGGGTTTCCCCCAATATTCTAGGAATCTCTTCTAGAAATCCTGGTAGTGTAACCCTTAAGTGCAAAAACACTAAATGGTGAAGTGAAGTATCCATTTACACTGCACTCTTCATAAGGTTAAGCTGAAAGAGTAAGATAAAAAATAGTCATCATGAGCAAGGCGTGGTTTTGTGTGCTGCCTGCATCTCACGGAGGGGGCTTTGCTTGTTTGTGTGGACCGGTTCCTGGCATGCCGTGGCCTGGTACTGGTCCATGGACTGGGGGTTGGGGACCCCAGAGATAGACCATTCAAGAAGCCAATTGAGGTTTATTTATTAAATGCTGGTCTTGTAGCCTACCAAACATTCTTTCCATACAAAGGCACGAGTTCACACAACTTACACTCTAAAGCTTGGATTTTGTTTTGTTTTGTTCCATTCAGTTGTGTGTCCGATTCTCAGAGACTGTCTGGACATTTTCTTGGCAAGGTTTGTCGGAAGAGTTTTGCCATTGCCTCCTTCCTAGGGCTGAGAGAGAATGACTGGACCAAAGTCAACCAGATGGCTTTGTGCTCAAGGCAGGACTAGAACTCAAGGTTCTAGTGGTTAAGGCATCAGTTTCCAGTGGTTAAGGCATCAGTTTCCACCCTGATGCCTTAACCACTGCATCAAAATGGCTCTTGAAACCATATTCAAAAACCTTGCATAGCAAAGCTTAATTGATGTATTCAAATATTATTCTAAGACCAAGAATGTAAATCATATTGGGACTAAATATAATGGCTGGTTCCCATAGATTGCTAAATCAAAGATTAGATTCTTACAATATTCTGAATGCCAGGCTCTCCGTTCCCCTATTAGCCTACTCAAATATGCTTCAAGCTTCCTTTTATGATGATGTTGATATTCTGAGATAATCCTGAATGTGGTGCTGAGAAATTTACCCTGTAGACCAAATTTTGCTGAGAGACAAAGAAACAGATGGAATAACATTTCAATGAATTATGCAATTAAAATAAAACGAGATTAATCCAGGATATTTTATATTAGCGTTGAAAGCAATTCAGAATCATAGCTCAACAATAGAGTCCGACTGTCCTTCAGCTAACCTTCTAGAGTGGCGTGTAAAAGTTAAGATAAAATTATTTGTCTGGTTTTATCTCACCTTTTTAATCTACCATTGAAAATACACAATGATGGAAATTGAAGGAGGTATGTTTTAATGACATCCTATAAAACTTTTCATAGCTTGTGATTTTATAGATTGGAAAATAAGAGCATATTGAATAATCTTGAATCCTGATCTTGTTTAGAATTATAGATTTGTTGCAAGCCCAAGATGCTACTTAATTGTGCATGTTAACAAAGTTGGACCTACAATTAGGCCAGGTGAGACAGCTGTCTTAGGCAGCAGAATTTGGATAGCGTGAGAAGATAGGCAATTGTGAACCATTTTACTGCTGTATTGTCACTACTGGAGATAGAATGCTTTAGGGCTTTACTGTATACACATATAGGAAAAAGTTTTATGGATCAGGGTATTAGGTTTCCTGATTTGGCTGGGTGGGATTATCATTTACGTCTCTGCTTCAGGCAGCAAAATATCTTGAGCTAACCCTGTGAATTCATTTATCCCAAAGTCATGCATTTCTATCTTAAGTTGATGCAGAGTCTG